TGTTGAACACTGAAGATTGAAGATGAAGACACAACAAAAATTTGTTATTGAGAGAGAATTGAAGATGTGGAATTTTGCCAAGGTGGAGATTTGTTGATGTTTGGCAAAATGCCAAAGTCCCACATCGGTTGGGAGTTGAGTTTGGGGGGATTTTCCCCCTATAAAAGAAGGCCTAATGTTTAGGATTTAAAAACACCTCTCATTTGCCTTCTCATCTGTTTAAGGCATTTGTATCTTCTCTCTTTAGTATTATTTCACTTGTATTTTTGGAGTGGAATAAAATATTGGTTGTGTCCGAGGAGTAGGCAAAATTAGCCGAACCTCGTAAATTCTGGTGTTCCCTTTATTGTTGCTTTATTGTCTTATTTATTATTTGGTGGCTGTCATAATTTTTGGTATAGTAGTTGTGACTTATTCACACTATATACATTTGGCTTCCGCAACATGTTTGACATCAAATCATTCTAGTTTAAATAAGGATAAATGAGTTTGCAACCTTTACTCTTTCCTTCCCCCTACTCTTTCTGTAGGGTGGATAGCTTCTTTTACAGGAGAGTATGCTCTTGATCAAGTTGTAGGTCTAAATCGATAAGATACATTTAGTGTCCACTTGTGTTCATCCAATTGGGATTTCCTTTAGCTGATGCAACTTTCTCCTTTTCGTTTCTCATGAATGCTAGCCTTCTACAGCATGCTGGGAAGTAAAGAGAATTTGGGCATTCCTTGAACTGAAATGCTTTATATGAAAGCATTTTCCAAGCCTATTATTTGTCACATGCTTTTGTTTACTGATTTAACTTGTTTTTAACTCATACGTTGCAGGTATAAAAATGCTTTGGGAGGTTCTTGGGTGGTTGTGATACTATTTTTGTGCTATTTCTTGATAGAAGCTCTCCGTGTTGGAAGTAGCACATGGTTAAGTTTTTGGACTGATCAAAGCAGTTCGACGAGATATAGTGCTGGCTTCTACAATCTGATTTATTCACTTTTATCTCTTGGTCAAGTATGTAATTATTATCTCTCTTAGCTTTTGTTGCTTGCTGCTTTCTCCCCACTGATCCAAGATATTTGATATCCTTGTATGCTGAATAAGACGCTGGAACTCTTCATCTGATGAAGGGGAAAGAAAAGGAGACTTCTAATTACTGTCTATATTATCTGCATATCAGGTTATGGTAACTCTGACAAATTCATTTTGGTTGATCACGTCAAGCCTTTATGCTGCCAGGAGGTTGCATGATGCTATGCTTAATTCTATTTTAAGAGCTCCAATGGTCTTCTTTCACACAAATCCACTGGGGAGGATTATCAATAGGTTTGCCAAGGATCTAGGGGACATAGATAGAACTGTTGCACCCTTTGTAAGCATGTTCCTGGGCCAGGTGTTTCAGCTTATCTCAACATTTGTCCTGATTGGTATAGTGAGTACCATGTCTTTATGGGCAATAATGCCGTTGTTGGTCTTGTTTTATGGAGCCTATTTATATTATCAGGTATGTGGAAAACTATTATTTTATTTTGTTTTGTGTAATTCATGTTTCTTAGATATAATCTGAACTGCTCTATCAATAATGTATCTGATATGCCCCTGCACTAATTGTATTGAGGTCTAAGCATGGGGTCGAGTGGTCCACCTCTTTCTGAAACAAAACAAGCTATTGTCATTCCTTAGGATGCATAGTACATACTTTATCCATAACGTATTTAATTCTTTGCGCATATTATTTGTAAAAAATGCACCTGGCATGTCCAAGTCATGTTATGTGCCATATTCGAGTCCTCTAGTGGAGGAGAATGAAAATAATTTTGGCTCACGAAAATGGATCTGTTACCTTAACCTGTGTCTGGCTGATTTCATTTGGTGAATTGATTAACTTCAATTAAGCCTCCCCTTTGGATTTTTCTCTTTGATTTTGTCCCTTTTCTATTTTAGTTCTACTTATTGTTTGCTCAAAACAACCTGCTTCTTGCAGAGCACTGCTCGTGAGGTGAAGCGCTTGGATTCCATCTCCAGATCTCCTGTCTATGCACAATTTGGTGAAGCGCTAAATGGTCTTGCAACTATTCGTGCATATAAAGCTTATGATCGAATGGCCAACATCAATGGGAAGTCAGTGGATAACAATATTAGGTTTACACTTGTGAACATGGGCGGAAATCGATGGCTTGGGATCCGTCTCGAGACTGTAGGGGGTCTTATGATTTGGCTTACGGCAACATTTGCTGTGGTGCAGAATGGAAGGGCAGAAAACCAACAGGCCTTTGCCTCAACAATGGGTTTGCTTCTCAGTTACGCCCTAAATATCACAAGCTTGTTAACTGCTGTACTGAGACTTGCAAGTTTGGCTGAGAATAGTTTAAATGCTGTCGAGAGAGTTGGAACGTATATAGACTTACCATCAGAAGGTCCCGCCATAATTGAGGGCAGCCGTCCTCCTCCTGGATGGCCTTCAGCAGGATCCATTCGATTTGAGAACGTTGTCTTACGTTACAGGCCCGAACTTCCTCCTGTTCTGCATGGTATATCCTTCACAATTCCTCCGAGTGACAAAGTCGGAGTAGTTGGCAGGACTGGAGCTGGAAAATCTAGCATGTTTAATGCTTTATTCCGACTTGTGGAACCTGAAAGAGGAAGGATATTAATTGATGATTGCGATGTTTCAAAGTTTGGACTGACAGATCTTCGGAAGGTTCTTGGTATTATACCGCAAGCACCAGTTTTGTTCTCAGGTATTTTTTGAATTTGTTTTTGATCTCCATTTTTTGGGATGGAGGTTTGTCTTTATAGATGTGCATCGAGATAATCATGCACATGTGATTCTGCTATAGTGGTGGAGGCACTTGTTACTGTAACTGTGAACAGATGTTCGGAGAGTAACATGCCCGAACATTCTGTCTGTTGCCCATCTGACTTTGGAATCTATCTTGCTCCACAAAGTCCATGGACATTGTCAAATAATTTTAGTTAGTGGATACGCTTTGATGACTTTGAGGTTAACTGAAGGTTGACTGTACTTAACAATTAGTGTATATATTGGGATGGACTTAGATTATGTCTGATGTTTTCTCTGTAGCAGAGAGCAGGGTGTGAAATTCATGCCAAAGTAAGATTCTTGTTGAAAATAATATTTCTTTTTTGATGAGGGGGGTAAAGTGCACTGCGAGCCCTAAATAGCTTTTTGCTACTATGTACATTTACCAAATGAATCTCCCCTTCAAACTCTTTTAACATTTTCCCTGGAAAAACTCTTTAGTAAATTCTGTTAAATGGCTAATGGTAGAACAATAGAAGAGAACAAAGAGATAGAGAGTCCATCAGACCCCTCGCAACCTCTTGTTCTTCTTCCTCGCAAAAAGCTTTGAGAACTTTTTAACATTTTTTTGGAAAAACTCTTCTGTAAATTCTGTTAAATGGCTAATGGTAAAATAATAGACAGAGAGCTCTATCAGACCCCTCGCCTCCTCATTTGTCCCTCTCGCAAAAAGCTTTGAGAATTCTGCAAAGAGTTGCTATAACATGCTAATTCATTTCTCTCTTGCCTACTTCATTTGCTACTGGTTCTGATCTCACATTTCTAGCTTAGCCACAAGCAACTTCATATAATCTGAGTTGTTCTCTTTCTTTCGACTTTTGCTGACAAATCAGTCTGCTCTTTTACCAGTCTTTTATTTGATGGTGCAGATGGTCATACAAGAGATGTATAATTTATAAACAAAAAGACCATGGTTACTCATAATATTTGTGTATATTGCACAAATCTAGTCCTATTGTAGAAGTGTTTAGTACCTAGCATAAACTTTGCTTATGGGTTGTAATCAACATGATGGACATGGGAGAAGAAGGAGCTGCGGAATCGGGAGGGGAGAGAAGTAAGAAGTAGGGGGAAAAGAATGGAAGATACTTCTGATGGGCCTTGGGTGATCTGTTATTATCTTAACAGTCGCTTGTAGCTTTTCTTTTCTTGCGTTATCTCCTTCGCTCCATCTGACAGTTAACAGACAACGTTAAATGAAATATCTCCAGGACAATCTTTAAGAAGTTGAAGAGGGTAAATGCTAAAAGAATAAATATAAGAACATATGATACTATCAAAATCTTTGGCCTGCATTTTATGTCATATTAAATATGTCCTGCATTTTTGGTGTTGACCTGAACTAAAAAAACAACTCACCAACCTACCATTAAAAAGAGTTTATCTCAATAGTCCTCATGTTTTTTGGCCAGGGACCGTGAGATTTAACCTTGATCCATTCCATGAGCACAATGATGCTGACCTCTGGGAATCTTTGGAAAGGGCGCACCTTAAGGAAGTTATCAGGAGGAACTCTTTGGGTCTCGACGCCGAGGTTTGTTCTTTGTGTTTTGACTTGTTTCAAATTGTTTGCCATTGTTCCGCTAATAATATTACTCTTTACGACTTTCACAACTTTCAAGAATTCAAATTCATTTAGTTATTTTAATTTAAACTTTGATATGATGTTTTCTCTATCAAACTAACATTTCATCGACTACTTTAATATTTTCTTTCTATACTACTAGCATAATAGATAAGTCAATATAAAATTTGAACTTCATGCCATGTGATAAAGTGAAACAATGGAATATATGATTCTAAAAATGTGAAACATTAGTACAAAGTGTCTTTAAAATATTTTGGCAATATAAAGTCTATTTAAACTCTGTAAAGTGAACTTTGTTGAATAAAATGTAATACAGGGGCAGTATCACTAATAAGCATGAGGACTACAACTAAAGGGAACAACTTGTAAAACACATGGAAAAGCACAGACTTTTCATTTTTATGGTAGAGTCAGTTTCTATGTTATTGGTTGCAGTGTTGTCAAAGGCGCGCTTAAAGCGTGCTTAAGCCCTGAAGCGAGGCTCAAAACATGTTGAGCGCTTCGCCTCACTTTGTGGGCGCTTTAGTATTGCATCAAGGCTCTTAGGCATACTTTTACTTGCCAGTAAGTGTAATCCTGAAAAGGCAACATTAAACAATTAATATTTCACTTTATCGTAAATTTTTTCCAATTTCTTTGTTCATGTATTTGTTATTCATGCTTATAATTATTAGTCTTAGACTACATATACATAGTTTTACTTTTTCTTCAGTTGCGCATTTTTTATTAAAGCCCACGCTTTATTTGCGCTTTGTGCTTAAAGCCCCAACGGACCTTAGAGCTTTTTGCACTTTTCGCCTTTGATAATACTGATTGGCTGGGATTATTACTTATCAAAGAGGAAAAATTGGACATATATTTGTTATGCTTTGTTTTTGTTGTATAATGGTTATGCTTTATCCAAATGCACCATATTACAAGTTACAAAGCACGTTTCAAATAGTAACTGTTTTTGGTAGAAAGAAAACCCTAAACACCTATTTTTAGTTAAAGTAGCATGCTGCACTATTAACTAACTCCGACTTGTTGAATTAACTAGATAGCTTAGAGGCTCAAGCCTTTGTGTTAGTATAAATTAAAAAAATGAAAATTCCGTTACTTCTATTCTCTTGACTTTTCTATCTATGCTATCCTAGTCAAACAAATTTCAGCTGTAGCTAACAAAACATTACTTTGATGTATTAAGGTGTCGGAAGCTGGAGAAAATTTCAGTGTTGGACAAAGACAGCTTTTAAGTCTTGCTCGAGCATTGCTTCGCCGGTCAAAGATTCTTGTTCTTGATGAAGCAACTGCTGCTGTTGATGTCAGAACTGATGCTCTTATTCAAAAAACTATACGTGAAGAATTTAAGTCATGCACCATGCTCATCATTGCTCACCGTTTGAACACTATCATCGACTGTGACAGAATTCTTCTGCTTGATGCTGGTCAGGTAGAGTGCTCACCCTTCAATCTTAGTCTTGTGAACTCACTCTGATAACAGGTCATGCCTGATTGCAGGTTTGAGGGTCTACTTGGGGTTCTAATACAAAAGAGGGATTGCGTCTTTATTTTTTCTTTAACCATCTTTTCTCTATGGGTTATTTCAATTTACCTGTTGTCTGTCTCTTTTCAGGTACTGGAATATGATACTCCAGAAGTATTGTTACAAAAGGAAGAAACTGCTTTTTCTAGGATGGTTCAGAGTACAGGAGCTGCAAATGCTCAATACTTACGAAGCTTAGTATTAGGAGGGGAAGAGGGTAACAGTATAGGGAGGGATAAACAGCTAGATGGGCAAAGGAGATGGCTTGCCTCTTCACGTTGGACTGCTGCAGCACAGTTTGCACTAGCTGTTACCCTTACCTCATCCCAAAATGACCTTGTGCAGTTAGAAATTGAGGATGAGGATAATATCCTGAAGAAAACAAAGAATGCCGTAATCACTCTGCAGGGAGTATTAGAGGGTAAGCACGACAAAGAAATCGAAGATACCCTGGATCAGTACCAGGTTTCCAGAGACAGATGGTGGTCTTCTTTATACAAGATGGTTGAAGGTAAAGACTTCTGCAAATTAAACTTTTCAAAAGCAAACAATTACTTTCATGGTCATCTTCTTTGAGAACCGTTATTTTTCATGGTCACCATTATAGTCAGTATTGATGAGGAACAAGATTTAGACATAGACAGGTTGACAGACACCCGCGCCCGAACAAAGGAATAGGATGTACATGGATAAAATCTATAACTTCACCCACTTCCCTTTGCCACCATTTTTTATGCTTTAGGCATCTGGTGTTTGAAATCCACTGGATCACTAATCTGGATTCGCGCGGGGTAGGGCTCAGTAGAGGGGATAATGTGCTCCCAACTAGGAGTTCCTCTATTTCCGGTGCTCGAGCCTGAGACTTTTGGTTAAGGGTAGAGGGATTCCAACCATCCCACCACACTCCTTGGTTTCATTTTTTGGTTTAGGCATTTTGTTATCTGGGTGAGTATGTCTTTGTGTGGTCTTTGAGGCCTTTACTTGGTCTCCAATTGTTTCTCTTTAAGGAAGCAGTGCTGTTAGTATAATGTTCTCATCTTGCATTATTTGTTGATCAAATATTGGTTTTATTTATGGTTCTGGGCTTTTTACACTTTTCAGGTCTCGCGATGATGAGTAAGCTGGCGCGCAATAGACTTCATCAAGCAGAACTTGAGGTTGAAGAAAAAGCAATTAACTGGGATCGCGCTGAGATGTAGAAGTCTTCCAGTCTGCAGCAGATTATGGAATGGGACTTTTTTAAAACTTATTTTATTAGATTTTACAGATTTTTTGTCTACCCCTTAACACTAGTTGTGACATTGATTTTTTATCCCGTGAGAAAGTTTTGCTGTGCCTCTTCTGAAGATGATGATGAGGTTTCTTGTAAAATTAAGGAGAAATGTTATTTTGAGTGCAACTACCACAGATACAGGGAACTGGCATTAGAGTGGCTTATTATTATAAGAGATCTCCGAGTTCTGTGCTGCATGGCTAAAACAACTTATTTTTGGATCCTATCATATATTATTATCCAGCTTCTATCTACACACACACATCCATGCACCACTGATAGTAGCGTTGGTAATCTCTTTCTACAAGCTAGTGATAGTTTTGCGCTAAGGTGGCACGAACAAATCGAGAAATGATACAAGCCAAGGGTGGTTTATATTCTTGACTTTTTATACCTTGTTTCCCTTAGTATTGTTTGTTGAAGAGACTGAGTAAATCAAAGTGTGCTCTGTAATAGTTTAAACTTTTAAGTGAGGCACGCGTTAATATGGTATTAGCTATGCCTTGTGTCACCTGCTTGGCCAATGAAAAATGAAATGAATGAAACCTGCACCTGAGGGGGGACATGTCGAGGAGAGTTTGTAAATGAAAGCGTGCTCTCTCTAATAGCCTAAGTTTTTAGATGAGATGATCACACACTTCAATATTATTTAATCGCACCATACTTGTTAGAGAAAAAATATTCTTAAGTAGAGTACTTCCTTTAAAATAGAGCTAGGTATTTTTCCTTTTAAGTGATAGGTTTAAAACTAGACAATGTCACTAGTCAAGCAACATTTAGTAAAGGTAAAAAGAGAAGCTGAAATTTAAGGTTCTTCAAATCACCAAAGGATGTAGTTGGATGAATGGGATCCTTAACTAAAGGTCAAGTTCAACCACTGAAATTGGAGAAACCTCTAATAGGGAGCGATTCCTCTTTAGTCGGTTTACACGAATTTGGATATGCCAGACAATTAAATTCAAGAAATCTCATATGGTTATTAAAAGAAATCTCAAGAAATTAAAATGAACTTACATAATGGGTGAAACTAAGAGTACAATAAGTATAAGATACCACAAGAAGAGAGAGCATCCAAGAAATATATGTTATTTTGCAAAGCTCTTCACTTCTATTATGATGATTAAACACCTTAACTAAAGCAACTAGAAGCTTACCACTTTTTACACAAATTGGATTCTTACACAAAGGATCTAAGACTACATAATCTACAAGGATTTCTTATGAAATTGAATGCCTCCTGTTTCTTGAAGATGAACCAGAAGACTTAATTTCTCCTTTAATAATCATTGAAGTTGGACTATGAGAACTACCAGATGTCTCAGAGCTCCGGTTTTCGACGTTACCAGACACCTTACCAACAACAAACAGCTTGTCAAATATTCTTCTTGATCTTGAAGGCAGCAACTGTGCACCACTACTTCTGTTTTTACTACCCTTTTTTACCAACTTCATGTTCTTTTGTGGATTTTCATCTTTTACCTTCATTACACTCGATGGTTTCGACACATTGTGCTTTTCTGGCAATGTTTTCTGCCAATATTCTTCAGTCTTCCTAGTGGAATCTAAGGCATTACTGTTTCTGTTGTTTAAGGCTTGAACTCCAGCAGCTGCTCTAATTTGCTCAAAGAAAAGGACTTGAACAACAGTTCGGAGAGGCAGCCGTTCATTTTGTGCTGCATGCATAGATGCATCCATTGTTAATTTCCTCACATCCATTAGGCCACATAAATGCTTTTTCTCAGCTTTTGTCAAGCTTGAGTGCTCCTGCAGTGAAGAGAGGCCGTTAGTACATTATAAAACCATAAGCTTCAAAAATAGCGTCCAAAACATTATATACAAGGATATAATTTATCCTTGTATGTATACATATAATGTATACATTGGCAAAGGCCAGTACTTGCTTATATTAGATCACTGTGAAGAAGTATTGTTTCATACGCGGAGTTAAAGGTTTGAAGTTTATTGGTTCAGGATCCTAGCCATTTTAAACTAATGGTTCTAAATTAATAATTTGTACTATTAAATGACAATGTATTGTAGTCCCTAGCTCCGCCGCTGTGTTGTTTAGGTCTATATTGCTCGGATCCTCGAAATATGTTGCCGGGTGCGTGCCAAAGTGATTGCATTTTTGGAGGATCCAACTCGGGTGCAGCCACATTTTGGAGGATCCGAGCAACATAGGTTTAGGTTCAACTGAATGAGAGACTTCCGAAAACTTTGGACCACATTAAGGACTTGGAGAACTTATGATGGAAAATAAATAAATAAATAAATAAATAAATAACCTGCAAATAGATATCAATTGCCCCATATAATGCATCATGGATCGGTCTTGCTGAGTCTGGAACGGATTGCAACAGTTCAATGAAACTCGATAGACTGACGTTTGGATCACGTGCAATTTCTGTAAGATAGCCATCAACTAATTTACCAACTTTCAACCATGACCCATGCCCCAAGACGAAATCATTGGTGCTCTTTGCAGAAATGTTCTTATCCCGGCTTCTTTCACGAGCCATGAATCGGTCCACTAGGCACTTCACTAGTTCAACATCGTAAACAGTAGTTTGAGGAGACCTTGATGGAATCAAAAGATCATTGACGGAAGCCTCGTCCAGCTTTAAGCTGATACTTCTTATAAGATCTTCCCGTGATGAATCATCCGCTCCCACAAGAATAGCGACTTTCAATAACTTAAGCAAGAAGCCACACGAACAAGTAACGCCCTTGTCAGAAGGCAATAAGCAGATTATTGTCTCTAACAAGGACTTGTTCCTCCTACTGTGGGCTTCAGATACCAAAGCTTCAATAGAATCAGGCAACCATCTCATTGCATAAGTTCTTAGTGCCTCGCCAATAACATTGCCATCCATTCTTCCCTTAGCTTTAACCGCGATCATAACTCGCTTGTAAAGATCTATCTCAAGTTCACATATATCTTCAGCCCACCAATCCTTAGGCACAGATTCAAGGTTTACAGGGAATTTTACCCCAACTTCTGTGATCCTATCTGAGACTGCCACTTTTCTGTTATAAGTGTAGGACCATGTAATAGTCGACGGATCCATTGAAGTTTTGGATGCAATAGAATCTATACATCTCCCGACCACCTTCAGATCTTCAGACCACGGCAGAAGAGATTTGGTGGTTTGTAAAACAATGATCGAATCTTTCCAGCTGCGGAAAACGCTAGAATTAAGGAATACCTCGATTTTGAAGATAAGATTTCCACGGTCAGCATCTTCAGTCATCTCAAGGTACTCAGCCGCACAACGTGCAGCAACAACATTGTAAGGATTGAGAGTCACTGTCATTCCGTAGCAAAATTTGGCGCAAATCTCAAAAGCTTTAGGTCCACCAGGAAAATCAACTAACTGCATTTCACCAGAATCCTCTTCATTTGCTTTTGAAACAAGCCTTTGCAGCCTGTTGCTCTTGGACAACAGAGGAAACTGGCAAAACAAAATCAGTGTAAAGTGTAAATCAAATAGACTCAGACTCAGATGACAAAATCAGTATAAACTGTAAAGGTTTGGAGATAGCTTATATTGATATGTCAAGAACAGCCTAGCAAATAAGTTCTATAAACGGATGTGCGAGGAAAGATTTGGTAACCTCACGGTGTTAATTTAGTCTAAAGCTCTTCCATAAACAATTGCAGTACACAAAGAAACGAGATGAAACCAGATCACATGGCACATTCATCAAACCAGAATTTTTTCTCTTCTATACAAATAATTTAGTTCTACATGCAAATATGTTCAGTATCCCTAGCTCAAGATCATTGAGGAACAGCAGCAAACAAGTTCTGCTTGTTACCTTCTCTCAGTTCAATAGAATTTATTTGAAGAATCACAATCAAGTACCCTTTTAATTGATGGAAGGAGAGCCTTGACGTAACTGGTAAAGTTGTTGGCATGTGACCGGGAGGTCACGGGTTCGAGCCGTGGAAACAACCTCTTGTAAAAATGCAGGGTAAGGCTGCTTACTATAGACCTTTGCGATATGGCCCTTCCCCGGACGCCGCGCATAGCGGGAGCTTAGTGCACCGGGCTGCCCTTTTTACCCTCTTTATTGATGAAATCACGATTGCTTCTACAAATTTTAGGCAAGTTGAGTCCCTTTCCTCCTGTTTCATTCCCTTTAGGCTCTCCTGGAACATCACATGTAGGTTCACTTTCAAGTACAAGCACCAAGCTTCTTTGAACTTAAGGTGGACGTGTAGCTTGGCTCGACCAAACGTACCACCGGAATTAATTTAAGAACACAGCTCACTTGTTCACAAACTTACTCCTAAATTTTATGCAAGTTCGGTCCTTCTCCCTCCGTTTCATTCCCATTAAGCTCTTCTCGACATCACACAGTCCCTTATGTCTCTAAGCTCTGGACTGGGGAAAGAGCCGTTCGGCACAGCTGCATTTTAAGTGTTTTTATGAACTACAGTCTTATAATTATAATACTTGATGGGCACAGGTAATGCACTACAAACAGAGGCGGAGCCAGGATTTGAAGTTACTAGGTCTAGGTTTTGGTCCTTCGGGATTCAGTCCTTTTGAGTCACTAGGTTCTAAGCTAAGAATTTGTATATATTTAATGAATTTCTTAAGATAAATATAAAGTTTAGACCAAAGTTACTGGATTCGGCTGAATCCATAAAATACATACTAGCTCCGCTCCTGACTACCAACAACACGAAGAAACATAGAGAGGATAAGTATTCTCTCTCAACAAATAGGCTAGATAGGATAACTATTTGACAACTAAATCGATTCAAAATGCTTTATGCATATTTAGATTAAAGTACAGACCACGATGAAACTTGAATCCAAGAAGAACATAGACAGGATAGGCACTCTACAGACAAATTGATTCCAAATGTTTTTTCCATATCTGGATTATATTACAGAGGATAACAAATTTGCATCTCCCAACTGATGGACATGTTACATACATAGTATAATTTAATGGACATTGTAGCAATATTCCCTTTGGCATGAAAAATCAAGTTACCTTGTGAAGATAAAACTTCACTTCACCAATAATGATGGTAACATCTGATGCCAGTTCCGATGACACGTACCTACATCAGTTAATCAAAATTCATATGCTACATAAGAAATGTGATCAGAGTACAGCAAGTAACTGAAAGAAACAACACAATGATTTTTAAAGGGAGAACATAAAAGAAGTTGTGGCTTATCAACATAAGATTA